TTTCTTCCGGAAAACGACCATACATGAATCTATAACCAGTAATTAATTTTTTAAGAATCATTTGAATCATCTTGGGACTCCACAAAATCAGATAAAAAATTCTGAATTTATGGTTTTAGACCTGCAATTGTGATCGCGCCAAACTTTTTTTCTGTAGATCAAAAATTAATTTGCAGTTCGGAATTGTTCTGTGGGAGAGCGTGCTGTGGGAGAGCGTGCGAAGTTTGAAAATTATGAAATTAAATTCGGAAATTTTAAAAATTATTCTGAATTCTGAAAATTCGAGTAATGCAGAAAGGGCGCTGTTATTTTCCCTCGCATTCTGTTTCTTTCTTTTTTTCTTTATTTTCCCCTGTTTCAGAATTTTTTCTCCCTTTCAAATCTTTAAAACCCGTTCCAAAAGAATATTTCTAGAAAATCACTTTTCTCTCAGAAATAGCGTGGATAAGAAAAAAATTAGGCGGTTAGACGGGAATGACTATTTCTTCAATATTATTGAATATTTCTTCAATATTTTTCTAAAAATTTGCACTGTAGAAATAGAAGAACGTCTCCAGAAGACATCAGTAACAAAATTTAGAAGTATAGAATACTCGGGCATCATCTCGCGGCTATTTCGGGTTGTCTGTGAAAATTTGGGAAAATTTGGTTTATTCTGGACTTCGATAAGGCAGGTGACCCGGGAACACCGGACACACACATACACACTCACACACAGAATTTGGTGATTGTTAATAGTAAAGATAGGACTTGACGAGTGCTACAAAATGGTACTATTTGGAATACTTTATCTTTTCTATGAAAAGAGTTACAATCCAAAAGCCATCTAGGCTGTGCGGTCACAGCTATGCGACTTTTAACTATGTTAACAGACAAGATACAGTACTCCAAATACTATCATTTTATAACACTCGTAGAGTTCTATTATATTCAAGATAATTGGTCGGAAACTAAGAAATCATGAAAGTTTCGAAAATCTTCCAGATTCCTCCACATTCATCACTACACTGCATGGCCTCACAACTCGATTCCGTACAATGGAAATGCTCAAGCTATCCGTCAAATGTGGCAAATTCAATCGGCCCTTCGAAAGTATCCACCGACGAGTCCGCCCGTATTTATGAGCTTGTCTGGATGTGGAAGAGCCGGAACATTCGCATTTTTCGAGAACGCCCATGCTTCTTTGCACAGCGAATCGCCCCGATTGGATATGGTCAAGTGTTTGGAAAAGGTTAGCTTGAAAATCAATCGAAAATTCGATTCAAATAAGCCTAAGAATCCCAAAATCGGCTCAATATGGGCCAGAAGTGCCTTTGAAACTAGATTAAATTAGAACTGGGTCAATTCAAAAACTATGACATTCTTAAACTGGGTCATTCCGAAACTTGCAGATCCGCGACAAGAGAATCCACGCGTGCCAAACTCTTCCACAATTTTCGTTTGTCTACACTCTTCTAGCCGAACACATTTTGGATAATGTAAGGAAGTGTTCAGTAGAGCGCTTTTGTCAAAAAGCAAATTTTTTAAAGGACTTTTTTCCAGGGATTCTGTAAATTGGTGATTGAGAAGAAGAAGAATGAGAAGGAGGATGGAAAAGAAGAGGATCAAGATCCAGCGATGGTGTCGAAAGCGATTCTTCGTCAGATGACTATTCAGAAGTGTCCTTAATTATTAAAATTCTGGAAGCCTTTTTTTCTCTCTGAATAAATTTTAATAGCAAGAAACCTCTTTAAATTTTGTCCAGGAATAATAATTTTGGGTCACTCAACTTGTAGGATCCAAAACTCCGATTTTAGATATTTCCGATGAATGGAGATTTGGTACATCTGGATAATATGGTCCAGGATGGTTAGGAATGTGTTTTTTCTGAATTAAAAACTATTTCTTATCAAAACTAGCAAAAAAATCATCAAATGTAATCCAGTAACAATAATCTTAGGTGCATCAAAGTTTAGGAACTGAAATGCCAATTTTAGAGATTTCTGATTAATTTGGAATATCTGGAAAATGATTCTGGAAGTTCCGGATTCTGATATTCATTGAATTATAAAAATTCGATGATAGTAGAATAATTCAATTATATTAGCAAAACCCGCATCAAATTTCGTCCGGAAACAAAAGTGCAGGGAGAGTTCACAATTCTATTTTTAGATATTTTCGAGAATTTGAGATTTGATACATGCTCTTAAATGGTCCAGCATTATTAGTAATATAGTTTTTCTGGATCAAAATAATTACCGTAAACACCCTAAGAACGCCACCCGGACCGTCCACTATAAGCCTAAATATCTCACTTCTTTTAAAAGATATCAAAAAGTTGTCAACTAATAAAATGTTCATCATGATATCAGCAACATTTTATTAGTTACCGTAAAATCTGTATTAATATTGCATGCAAGTCTATTGTTCAAGTCACCTCAAGGGGTGAAACTCTATTAGAGGGGCAATTCAAATAGAGGCTGCAATTCTATTTTTAAAACTACAATTTGAGGTTAAAATTTTGAAAAAAAAAAACAGTTTTATTATGAAAATCAACAAAAAAAGTAACAAATCGAACAAAACAAAAAAATATCGCATATTTTAAAAAATCAAAAAATCGAGGCGTCACTGTCAGAGTTATTTTCTTCTTCTTCGGCATGGTTCACTTCTCCATCGTCTTCCTCAATTTCAATATCTCCCAAAATCTCCTGAATTTCTTCCATTTCTCGTTCTGCTCGTCTTGTCTTCAATAACTGTACGCCTTCTGGATTTCTCCACGTTATCCACGTGTTCCACGTCATCCAATTTTTCCACGTCGAACACGTTTTCCACGTCTTCTAGGTCTTCTTCAGAACTCATTGCTCGTTTTGCTCGCTTCAGTAAATGGAAAATATTGTTTAAAAACAAAGAAAAATAAAAATAAACCAGAAATTAGGTAGGTAGTTAAAAAAAAGAAATTCGAAAAACAACGGTGCAATAGTTCGTCACGGTGTCACAGACTAAAAATTGTACAGTACTCCCGGCGGAGCCGCTGTCGATGCAATTGTATTACGGGGGCAATTCAATTAAAGGCTGCAAGTCTATTTTTCAAGTGCCCTCAAGGGGTGCAAGTCTATTAGAGGGGCAATTCAAATAGAGACGTAATATTAATACAGATTTTACGGTAACCATTTTTTGGTATCTCTCACAGATAATGAGATATATGAGCTCAAATTTGACGATTCGGGTGGCGTTCTATTGAGTGTTCCCGCTAGCTTGATAATATTAGCAAGAAAAATCTACAAATTTTGCCCGGGAACGATAATTTTTGGTTCCAGGAAGTTTAGGGCCTGGAAACATTGGGTCCTAAATTTCGGAGAACTTTTATGATAAAATGTCATTTCTAAGTAATCAAACCAAGGCAAGTTTGTAATTTGAAACTAGGTCATTCTAAATTCGTCTTTCAGAAGTTTCCGCCCATTTTTCGGTTTTTCCGAATAAAATTTTTTCCCCTAAAAATTTGCTTTTGTATATTGAAAAAGTAGTGACCATGGACTTTTTCATCCACAAATTTTTGCTTTTGTCCATTTTTCTTTTCCAAATACGGTCCTCCCCTCCCGAGAGTAGTCTTCTCTCTCCTGAGCAAATAGTTCGGAGAGTTAGAGAGTGTGAGAGATGCAGAGAAATCTTGCGCACCTTTCTTCGCCCCATACCTTCACATACCGTTCTGTTTGTTTGTGTCTTTTTCCCGGCGTCTCTCTTGATTTTCTCACTCTCTCACTCTTTTTCGGGCTCATTGCACATTCTAAACTTCCATTAACTATTCGATTTTTGAGGCGAGAACATCGAATCAGATGATTTTTATTTTGGAATTCTTGAAATTTGAAATTTCAAAGAGCCTATATTTTTCAAGAGTTTTAAAGGCGGAGATCTCGAATTCGCAGAATTGCGACTTCAAAGTTTTTGGAATTCCAAAAGTTTGATTTCTATAAGATTACTAAGTTCTCAGAATTCTGAGATTCAGAATTTTGGAATCTCTGTCATTTTGAATACTCCTAAAATAGAATTGTCCAAGTTCAGAGAAATTCAAAAAAAATTCTTGAACTTCTATTTGAATTTCCAAATTACACTTTTTCAGATTTTTAGAAGTCAAACTGAAAAAAATCGTGAAATTCTGAAAATTCCAGAAATGCGAGGATTTTTTTCCAAAATACATCTTCCCAAAAAACCCCATCCCAGATCAAAATTTGAATTTTTGATCTACATTTTTTTCGAACTTCCCTCCAAAATTGAAATCGAATTTTCACGACATAGAAATATTTGAAATTTCCAAATTTTTTGAACTTTGGTGTGTAACATTTTTAGAAATTGAGTTTCTGAAATTTCAGAATTTCGAAGATTCTCAAAAATTTCGATCTACAAGAAATTCGCTTTCTTCAGTTACCGTAAAACCTGTATTAGAAGGGCCCTCCGAGAGGGGTTTGAAAAGATAGAAGGGTCCCCTGTAATAGAAGGGCGCCCGTAATAGAAGGGCCCCCCGGAGGTACCTTGGAAAAATAAAAGGGCCGGCTCTTCCAAAACAGGTTTTACAGTATCTTGATTTTTTATTGAATATTTTCAGACTTTCATATTTTTCAGTAAAATTGAAAATTTCGATTTTCCTGATTTTTCTTTCAAAATAGTTTTTTTAAAAGAAAATTCAGAATTTCCGGATATTCTGATTTTCAAAGTTTTCAATTTATTCAAAATTTGAATTTTTCAGTTGGTTTCCAGGTTTTCCGAAGTACATAATTTGTAAATTTTGAAAAATTTCTGAAAATTCGAAAGTTTCAAAAATTATATCTTCTGAATTTTCAATTTTTTATAATTCCCTCTTTTTTACTTCACCACTTTCTTTTTTTTTAAATTTAAACATTTCAGATCTACTCTTCCTCTTAACTTCTAGCCAATTTTAATTTTAGTTTAAATTTCCGAAAAATCTGAAGATTCTGAAAGGTAAACTTCAATTTAATAACTTTTTATTTTTTTTTGACTTTTCAGATTTTCCTGCTGACACCTTCTTCTGGATTCTCTTCATCTGAAACTCAAAGACTTTTCACAAAATTTCAAAAAAACTGAAAATCACAAAAAATTGGAATTTTCAATTCCCACCAAAGCCAAGAACAATGGAACCGGGACCACCAAAAAAGCGAAAAATCACCGATTCCTCGCCGATTCAAGTTGTGGATCTCTCCCTAATCCCTCCTCTTCCATCTTCGGATGTTGCTGGACCCTCTACGTCAGATGGTACGGTAGCTACAGTACCCCAAGGAGTTATGCCGCAAGGGCAAATGGATTCAAAGCTAAGGGTGAGTCTAGATGTTTTCTAGATGATTCTGTAATCTTTTAAAAGGTTATACATTTTTTGAGTGCATAAAAACTAGAGATTCCATTCGGATTAGAGTTCAGGATTACCTGGAAATTTCTGCAAAAATCACTGGACTTCTTCTAATCCTTCTTTCCCTTTAGGAACTCCTCCTCTCCTCACCTGCATGTTTATTTGGCCATCAACCTGTAACGTCTTCAACTGCTTCTGGAGCACCCAATGGACAAGCGGCTGTTACCAGTTGGGAGAACTGGCTATGCGTTTTGGCAACCAATTTATCACCAGCTCAGTGGCAGGTGAGACTTTTAAAATCTGGTCAAAAAAGACTGTTGTAGAGCTAAAAATATTTATAACACTTTGACTTTTAAATTCGGATTTTTTTTCATTTGGAGCGTATCACGATTTTCGTAGAAAGACTGATTAATGCTAACAAAATATCATCAAACTTGTAATTAACTTAATTACCATTAAGAGCGACTTCAGACCATAATTCATTTGACTTAAATTATCTCGATTCCTATAAAAGCTATTCAAAGGTTTTTAATTAATAAATTTATAAAATAAAACTTTACACATTTTACTAGTTGACCAACTTTTGCTATCTCTTTTGCGACCAAAGATAATATTTTTAAAATTTGATGTCCTAAATTTCCCATATGTTTTTCCCAAAAATCTTATTTTCCCAAGAGGAAATAGTACCATTGTACCATCCAACCCATAAATCCATCCTTGTCTAGTTAACCCTAATTATCTCGTTCTTTGCAATAGATAGAAAATGTTTGTTAACTAATAAAATGTGTAAAATTTTATGTTACCCATTTTATTAGTTTACTATTTTTTGACATCTCTGACAGGAACCGAGATAATTAACATTGGACATCTGCTTGCTCGGGTAATGCCCCCTCGAACCCCATTTATCTCGGTCCACTAAATATACCGAAAATGGATCAAATAGTAAATTGTGTACATATTTATTTCATACATTTTTCTAATTAACCACTTTTTGGTAGCTCCAATAGGAACCAAGATAACTAGACCCAAAGTTCCATTTTACCAAAAAATTGTGAAAATTTGATTAGACACAGTTTTTCACTTATTTTTGAATTGAAATCATTCCTCTATGGCTCTTCTTATAAGCACAAAACCTGTTTCAATAATTTTTGCAAGTTTTCATCATCGAGGAGTGCACTGACCATTGAAGCATATCGATGAGTTTTGTGAAGCGTTATGATTAGGGAGTAGGAAGGAATGTCATGTGATGATACTCGTGCTGCTCCGATTCTAGAAATTTCCATAGCATATTTTTCAAGTTGAATATGTGAAATGAATTTTCTATTTTGTGATTGTCTAACTTTCTTCAAATTGATTTTCTAGTCCATCAAGCTCTTGATGGACTAGACCTTATCTATATATCAAATCTCCACCTTTTCCAGGGCTACTGGCTCGCTCACTGTGCCCTATTCGGAGAGCAGGCAGTTCCTGTTCACATGCTCAGCTTCTTCCAAGGGCACTTACCATCATCGTCGTCTGCGTCTCCGTCATCTTCAACACTCTCTCAACTTCCAAACGGACCCCATCCAAATGACCCGATTCACGAGAGATACGGTACGCGAACTTTTTATTTTTATTTTAGGGGAATTCTCAGGAGAGCGCAATTAGCTTTCTGATTTTTTACTGGTAACTATTTTCCTATTCTTAAAATGACCACCCTTATCACTGAATCATTAGGAATTTGTCTATTTTCGTAGTCGACAATTATAAAAATAGACAATTTCCAATTTACGGACCTCTCAGCTTACCGTTGCTCCTTCTTTCTTGTACGCCCTCTCTTAAACATTCTCAACGTGCTCCTTGTGGCGCAGTGGCTTGCGCTTTTGCCTACCGTTCCATCACTCATTGGTTCCATTCCTTGGTGCTCTAAACCCTTTTTGAGGTTCACATCACTTTTACCTCTCTTCATAATTCAATCTTCTCTTGTAAACATGTGCAAAATTCAGAAAGAATTCTGATTTCACTTCTCTCTCTCTCTCACTTCACAACTCAAAAACACCTTCCCCCTCAATTAGGCAAGAAAAAAGGGGGAGGCTGGCTGAAATTTTGCTTTTCTTCTCTTCTCACATCTACTTTTTCTTCCTTCTTTTTTTCTGTGTACCCCTGGCAACTACGATTCACTTTGTTCTAGCTCTGGTTGATAACAATGATAAGAAATTAAAAAAAAAAATTTCACCGTAATTTTTAGGTTTCGCTAATTTTTATTCTTCCTTGAGATAGCTCTCCTTATGCTTGTCTACCGCTCAATTTATTTAAGGTTACTTCTGTGACAACTCCGATGTCAAATACCGTAAACACTCTAATAGAAGGTCACCCTTTCCCTTTGAGCCAAATTATCTCGGTTTCTGTAACAGATATCAAAAAGTGGTCAAATGATAAAATGTATATTATAATGTTCAAAAATTTTATCAGTTTACTACTTTTTGTTATCTTTCACAAGAACCGAGGTAAATTGGCACAAAGATTAGGGTAACCTTTTCCCTCTGGGCGGTCCCACAGGTTCGATTCCACTTTGCTCCGATCTTGGTTTTCGTTCTCCGACTCCACCGGTGATGCGTTGCCCTCTACGCCATCAGGCATATTCTGTTTCTCTTCTTCGGTGGCGATGTCCCCGGTTGGTGTCGAATTTCATTCCCTTTGGGATGCTTCGTCTTCCAAAAGTTTTTCCTTCTGTGTCTATAAATACAAAAAGTCACCCAGCAAAGCTAATTAACTATGAAGCTGAAGTTTAACGCTAGTATTTTTGATTGCGGATGGGCGGCGAGCCTTTGTGGTGAGTAAGCACTCCTTTAGTTTGGAATGATAGTCATTTGACCCCGATTGTCTTGGTTATGCAAAGTTGTCATTTTCTTCTCACAAGAATCTAAATAAGTGAGCTGGACACCTTTCCTTTGACCTAGTTTATCTTTCTAGGTGCAAGAAGGAAAATATGTGAAATTAAATTTCACACAATTTACCAGTTTAGCATTTCTAGCCAGCTCTCATAGGAGTCGAGATAATTGGGGTGAAGTTTGCCAAACTTTATGCTTTCTCTAAATCTCTTCTCATTTAACACTCTCTCTCTCTCTCTCATTTTCACAATGTCAAAATAAACTATCATTAGACAGAGAGTGGGAGCACCTGCTTTTTTCTTCTACCTTCTATGCTAGAAGAGAGAGAGAGAGAGAGAGAGAGAGAGAGAGAGAGAGAGAGAGAGAGAGAGAGAGAGAGAGAGAGAAGACAGGAGTCGTTTTCGAAAATCGAATCAATCAAAATGAGTGTGGTTTTTGTTGGATTCTTGGTGTGGAGTCGAGGAGAGGAGAACCAACCTTGTTCTTCTTCTTCTGGTCCTGGTGATCACAAATTTTTAAGATTCTCTGAAAAGATGCCATGTGACCTTCATTTTACTACTGATTTTGGTTTTCCCGCATGATGGACGCTTTGCAAATGCGCTCCATCGAGACTGGACGTTTTTTCCGATTTTTCAAGATTTCAATGCCTAGCCTAGACTACCAATATGTATAAGAAAGTACAGAGAATTTGCCCTAGTACAGTGTGAGGTCCCAGAAGACGTCGAAACTCAGATTTTTAGAAATTTAACGATTGAGACCTTCTAGGTTCAGAAAACGTCATAACTAAATGTTTTCTGCAAATCTCACGAACTTTGATTCATTTTTGAAAAAGCTCCAGAATATGTCATTTTTGGATTTTTCTGAAATTTTCGAAAAATCTGATGGATCTGTATAATTTTCATATACCGTAAAAACTCTATTCCACCCTTAATTGAATGCCACTGCTGATTTGATGTCATTTTGGTAAAAGTTAAAGAATAACACAAAAAATTAGTTTCTGGTTTTCTAGCCTTTCTCAATTTTAAAAGGGGTACTGTATTTGTCAAAAATCGTTTCCGGATGATTTCAGACTTCAAAGGATAGACAGTATCTAAGAAAGAAGTAGAAAAATCACGAGAACCTCGAAAGTCATTTTATGAACGAGTTAAAAATTGACTACTTTGGCTATGAGTTTCAGTAGAAATGGGCTCCGAACAATAAAGTGCCAGCCTCTAATTGAATGCCACCCCTAATACAGTGTCACCCGGGATCACCCCCGAACAATAGAGTGCCATGGCTATCTATTAGAGTTTTTACGGTAAGTCGATTCTAGTTTAAGCTGAGCAATGACTTAAAATACTTTCAATGATTTCAGAATCATCTATTAGAATCTAGAGTCTATAATTTTCTTTGAAAAACTTTGTTTCTAGAAAATTATACAAATCCGACATTTTGAAACTTGCATAGCTCAATACTTGGAAATTTGAAAAAGACAAGTTTCTGAAAAATTCTAGTTTCTTAAGAATATCTAGATTGCAACCCTTCGTATCTAGATCTATTTGGTTCCAGATAATTTTTTCCAGTAAGCCATTTCTTCTAGAAAACTCCAGATAATTGAATCTCTTGTTCGTGTTCTCTCTGCGTCTATCTGATCTCTTCGCTTTCTTCTTCTCCTTCTCCGAGCCATTGCTCCCGGACGGGAGCCGCCGCTCTGCCATCATCATCATCATCAGGAAATGAAGAAGAAGAGAAAAAAGACAGCTGGCAGAAAATGAATAAGAAGAAAGAATTTGTTGTGTCTCTCTCAATTCTGAAGGAAGAAAAGAAAAGAGGCCAATATGTGATCCAGAAAGAGAGAGAGAGAGAAAGAGAAAGAGAAAAAGCTCCGTATTTTTGTCACACACAATGATATCAGTTGTGTGTGAAAAAACCAGAGCAAATTGTGGAATTTTTTACTCCTTGTTGTTTTTTTTGTTCTTTTAAAAAGTTTTAAACCTAACGTAAAACCTGTAATAGAAGAACCTTTCAAATTTGAGCCAGTTTTTCTCGGTTCCAGTGAAAGGTATCAAAAAACTGTCAAATGATAAATTGTTTATCATAATATCAAAAATAAATTGTCAGTTGACACATTTTTGATATCTTGCATAGGAATTGAGATAATTGAGCTGAAACTTTACAGTGTGGGGTACCCTTCTATGTTTTACAGTACATATCTAGATATCTTGGAACTCGAATTTCTGCATGCTGAGTGTTGCAAAGCAGTCATTCTTAATGTGGTGGCTTACTCCTTTTAGAATAGATAGGTTACGGTGGACTGTTAGGCTTATTGTCTTAAAAATCGGCCTGATTGGTCACCGGTGGCTTAACGGCGGCTTGGATTTAAACGAGCTTGTAGGCTTGCAGACTTCCTCCGGGAAGGATCTTCAGAAAGTTTTTCTATTGATGTGCATTCTTTTTTTTCTAGAAAATTGTCTAATCGGTGCTGACAGTGGTATTCAGTGTCTAATAAGAACTCCATAGTGTGTTTTAGCGCCAAAACGTCCACAAATTTCCTATTTGAGAAGTTAAGGCCCTTTTTATTTTTATCCCAAAACTTCCTATTCTAATTTTTTTTTTCAAAACTTCCTATTCCAATTTTTGAAACTAAAATGATCTCCTTAAAGTTTTCTATAAATCCGTATAATTTTTGTAGAAATTCATTCATTTTTCACCGAGTTAGAACCCGTTCTGTTGCCTGAATGCATCAAATTTGAAATTTCTCAAAAGCTCAAAAAACCACAATAGCCTTTAGAAAATGTTCTATCGATTTGTATAATTTTTATAAAAGTAGATCGAGCAGATAGTTTTCGAGATCTCCATTTAAAGACGAATTGCAAAAACTCTAGATATCACAATAGAATAGGAACCAACGCCTTCGGTTTTAGCTTCATGTAACACACCTGCATTATTTTTTGAATAAAAAGAATATTCAAAAATTAAAAAAAAGAAACGAAGCACAACAAAAAAGTTATTCTGATGATTCATCTATACAATATATTGTATTTCTCTTTGCTTCGTTTTACAGAGCGGAGCAAAACCACAAAGCAGGAGAGAAAAAAACAATAATGATTGAGAACGAAAACGGATTCTTTGTGTTTTTTTTCTTGAATTGACTTGGAATAGGAAAATTGATTTTCTTCGAAAAAGTTCTGGAAACTTTTGAACCCACCTATTAGAAAATTATGCGTTTGAGAAGGTCTATTAGATCCTAAATATCGTATTTTTTCGAATATAAGCTTACCTAAACCGTCAACTTGGAGCTCAATTATCTCGATTCTTGTGGAAGATTTCAACAATTTGTCAACTGATAAAATATCAGTGATTTTAAGATAAAAAATGTATCAATTGACAAAATTTTCATATCTTCCACAGGAATCGAGATAATTAAGCTAGACGATGGGGTGGTCTTCTAGACTAGAGAAATTACGATAATTTGGTTTCAGTGAAACATTTGGAAAATAGGCTATATTTTTGTCCATTTTATTGTAGAAACGCAGACTTCTGAGAATTATTGAAGCATTCCAAACATTCACAATAGAGTCTCTTCTACAGTACCCCCATCGCAACGCCTTCTGTTTCTATAAATAGAATTTTGTGTGTGTCTAAAAAGCGCCTAGAGACCTGTTTCTTTTTCTAACCGACCCCTGGAGACGTCATCTCTCTCGCCCCATTTTGATAAGAACAAAAAATGAGAAGAACAAATAAGTACAGTAATTCCGGGGACTTTTCTTGATCTCCATTTAATCTCTATTTTGGGGATGTACCCAATCATAGGCAATTTCGGAGATTACTGTAAATTTTCTGTGTTGAGTACACCCACTGGGAAAGACCACTGAGTAAGTCATTTTATGAGATTGAAGAGAAATGGGAAACTCGAAACGTTTCTTTTTGAAAGTTCTATATTCTATTGCTCGCTGGTTATTGAGGAAAATGAATATCGGTGAGTGTAAAGAATAATGGGAAATGGGGACCTCGTTTTAGTTTGTTATTTCTAATTAAATTATGTGAATTCCTGACAATATCGTTACTCTATCTAAAATACTGTAAAACCTGTTTTAGAATGACCCCTGGAATTGAGGACCCTCTAATTGAAGCGCACTCCTAGAGACCCCAAAAAAGTGAAAGAAGGAAGATAGGACCCTTTGATACCGCTAATTATCTTGATACCCACTACGGTATATCTCTATTTTAAGCATTTTACTACATAGCTTATCAGTTTCTTATATCTTTCATAACACTTGGAATGCTCCTATGATATTCTAACACATCTAAATGTTATTTCAGTACCCTTTCCTCTTATCAAATTCAAGAAATTCCAGGGAATTTTAAATTCTAATTACAACCGATCCTTCGTCCATCTCTACAATCAGTCCCTCCTCCCTTTTTTTTCGTTCTTATCAGTTCAATTCCACTCTCTCCATGCTGATCACTGTATCTCTCTCTCTCTCTCTCTCTCTCTCTCTCTCTCTCTCTCTCTCTCTCAATGAAAAGGGGAGGGATAGACATGGAGAAATTAAACCCAAAAGAAAGTTGAAAAAAGACAAAAAAGGGAAAGTTTCACCCATTAAAAATAAATCAAAAAGTGAAAAAAATCCGAGATGGGTGCGCGGGTATCCTCGTTATTCTCTAATCACCACTGTTTTTGTGATCTTAAATGGATCGATTGGATTCGAGATCAATTGGGTAAGAAGAGGACCGGAAAATCATTTCAGCTATTCAGCTAACTACGAATTCCCTAACGTTTAATAGTAATCCAAAGTTTGTTGTACCTAGTGTGGGAAATTGATACCTTCATCAAAAATCGTTTTCCCAAAAACCTGTGTTTGAAACCCTCAAAAATTCCATTATTTGCATTATATTTCTCCTGCAAATATTTCAATTTACCGTAAACACTCTAATAGTACGCCACCCGGACCGTCCACTTTGATTCTATATATCTCACTTCTTTGGAAAGGTATCAAAAAGTTATCAACTAATGAAATGTTTATCATAATCTCAGCAACGCTTTATTAGTTAACCACTTTTTGATATCTCTTACAGAAAATGAGATACATGGGCTCAAATTTGACGATTTTGGTGGCGCTTCATTAGAGTGTTTGCGGCATCTTTAGAATTCAAATCATTTTCTTTAACAAGCTTATTTCACCTCCTTCTGTTCTGTTTCTCATGCACTTTATAATTTTTCACATCTTCACCTTGAATGTCTCTTATTTTCTTTCCCAAAAACTTAAACCTTGTACCCTCTAACCCATAAATCCGTCCTTGTCTATTTAATCCTAATTATCTCGTTTTTACAACAGATAGCAAATATTGGTTAACTTAGAAAATGTAAAAAATTTGATGTTACACATGTTATTGTTTAATCACTTTTTGACACTTTTGACAGGAAACGAGATATTGTAAACACTCTAATAGAACGCCACCCTAATCGTCAAATTTGAGCCCATGTATCTCATTTTTTGTAAAAGATATCAAAAAGTGGTCAACTAATAAAATGTTGCTGATATCATGATAAATATTTTATTAGTTGACAACTTTTTGATATCTTTTAAAAGAAGTGAGATATTTAGGCTTATAGTGGACGGTCCGGGTGGCGTGTTATTAGAGTGTTTACGGTAATTAAGGCTGAACATCTGCTTGCTCGGGTAATGTCCCTTTGAACCCTATTCATTTGGGTCTCTGGGATATATACCAAAAATGTATCAACTAGTAAAATATGTACATATTCATTTTACATATTTTTCTTATTGACCACTTTTCGATATCTTCCATAGGAATTAAGATAACTAGGTCTAAAGTAAAAATGCACATTTCCTTAGCTTTATCCTCATTGTCCCGGCTCTCATACACAATTTTTGTCGATGCGTAAAATTCCGTTTCGGCAACTTTTGTATATCTCTCCTGGCAACCAAGACTCCCCACTTCTCCACAAACATAACCCCAATCTCTTCCCCCTCTCACTTCTTGTCACTAAGTTTCACTTCTAATTCAGAAATGGGAAATGCGGCATCCGGTGGATCATCTGGAACGTCAAGATCACGAGGTGGTGGTGGTGGAGCGTCTTCTGGAAACGACTACAACAATTCAATGGTGTTCTCGAATGGGCGATTAGCCGCCGCGGAGACTAGTGAGTTTTTTTGTTGGAAAGGCGGGGTTTGGTTTGGCTAATTGCACTTTTGAATATTTTGAAATCGTATCTGGAAATGTCACAAAACGCTTCAAATTGACTGAGTTTCAAAAGTTCTGTAGGTTAGTTCAGAAATATCGACCAACATTCTATTTTATTTATTTTATTTTATTTTTTTCAAATTGAATTTCTCTTGTGTATAGAAAGAAAAAATTATGTACAATCATTCTCATTAAATAATCTAAATTTAATTCTTAAATTTCAATATTCTCAAATAGCTTCCATTCCTCGAACCTCAATTGTCTGCAAGCTCCCTTTTCTTCACCGCGTAATCACTTTGACTCAAAATATTCCAGCATCTGGTTGCGATACCAAAAAGTTTTAAAACAGTAATGTGTGAAAATTTTAATTTGACACATTTTTTAAATTGATAACTCTTTGATATATTTGCTAGAAACCGAGATAGCTAGGGACAAGCCGAGAGTCTCGCTAGCTCTCATCAAGCGCCCTTCCAAAAGATGGTGCTCCTTTGATTCTAATTATTTCACTTCTTGTAAAGGTTAGAAAAAAGTTTTCAACAAATAAAATGTGTGAATTCACTTTTTTTATCCTAAAAAAAAAATGGGAAAAGGTCCCAAGAAACCACTAGGCCCTTCTCTATGAGCGTCACAGCGCAATCTGTTCGACTCTAATTATCTTGATTTCTAGTAAACTTATCAAAAAATGGCTAGCTAAAGAAATGTGTGAAGTTTAATTTCGAACATTTTATCAGTCATCATATGTGTTACCTCTTTTGCAAATCAAGATAAATTGGTTCCAAAATGACCATACCGTTACCGATCCAAAAAAGAAAGAAGGATTTTTCAAAGTTAGAACCCAAAAAACCTTATCAATATAGTTGTGTTTTGATTCTGGAGGGGGAAAACCTCAAAGAAAAGAGATCATCCATCAAGTTGTCACTTTTTCTCTCAGATTCCACCCCAATCCACTCAACTCTTTCTCTCTATTTTTCTTCTGCTCTTTTTTTTGAAAACAAAAGCAAAGGGACCAATGAGTTTTTGGAAGCTTTTTGCTATTTTACTTCCAAAACTGAACATGAGTAATGTTTTAGTCAGCAAGCACTAGGTCCGTTCAGTTTTCAGCAGTTATCTTAAAAACGGATTTTGATAGAAGAACTTGGTCAACTGAAAATTTGCTCAGCTTGAAATTTCCAAAAATGTTGTATATTTGTTATACCGTTTGGACTACAGTAACTCAAAATATGACCCATTGAAAAGTCGACCGATACGATTTTTTAGTTTCCAAATATCTCAAAAGCCAAAAAAAGTCGAAAAGAAAGGATCAATTGAAACATTGCTCAACACAACATTTTTTATAATTTTCTTACATTTTTAGTATTTTAAAAAATCGTATTAGAGTCTTCCATATTCTCCAAAAAAGTATTTTTTCCAACCTTGACACTTTTTTTTCGGGGAAACTGCTAAACGGTTTATTTTAATATATGTGTGCGGTGTGTCTCTCTTTTCAAACTTTTTCGGGAAGTTTCTAGATTTTTAGGATTCCCAGAAAACCGAATATTCAACCTGATTTTGGGTTTCAATACAAACGGAAACCAATTTCAATCTCCTTCCCCAAAATGGGACCTCTTACCGAATGAAATTGAGTCTCTTCAACTCTCTCTCTCCATTTCAAAGAAGACCAAAATATTTGAATGCGGGCCTTTTCTCAATCCCAACCAAAAGAGCAATTTCTTGGTTTCTCAATTGAAATTGAGAAAAAGAGAGAGAGAGAGAGAGAAAGAAAGGCTTCTCAACTTCCGGTGTTGGGGAGGATTTTGGGAATTTGAAATCCATTTTGGGAATTTCTCCCATTCTCCCATTTTTTAAATTGGTTTTGCCTATTCTGTGGCGCTCTGACGGCAAGCGATACCGTTGAACGAGTAACGAGCCCTGTTTAGTTTGAACTCAATTATCTCGGTTCCTATGCGAGATATCAAAATTGTGTCAACTGATAAAATGCTTGTGATATTTTTATAAACAATGTATCAGTTGACAACTTTTTTATATCTTTAACAGGAACCGAGATAAATTGGGTCAAAGTTTAGAGGCCCTTCTTTCACAGGTATTACGGTATATCACAAAAATGGTGAACTATAGACAGAATCTGCATAAAATTCCTATCTTCAACTGTTTCAACTGTTATCCCTCATTCACTAAAAATCCCATCTTTAATTGAAAAAAATTTAAATCTCTCTCTCTAAAAATAGAACACATCTTTCTCTCTCGTCTTTAATTCGAATCAGAATTTGTTGTTTTTTTTCGTCGTGTTCCTCCTCTTCGTTCGCTGATTAGCTATAATTAATTTGATTTTGCCTAAAATGTGTGTACTCTTTTGATTTCCATTCTAGAAACATTCCAAGACATCTAATTTGAATGATCGCGCTCCCACCCGTTTTATATGCCTATCACCCCCCCCCCCTGGTCCAAAGTGCTCGCGTGGCCGAGTGGATAGCGCTGCTGGCTAGCAATCCGATTTCTTTTGAAGCTTCATAGGTTCAATTCTCCGCACCCAGAAATGTCTTTTTACTCTTTTTTTTACTGGATGTCCATGTCACGAGACATGTGGTCTACCTTGTTAGGGAAGCTTCTTCCCCACATCCATCAATCTCGGCAAGCGAATTTGCTCTAATGAGATTTCGTCTTCTTCTTGTTTTCTTTTTCCCCCTCTCCTCCTCCTAGCATTCTAAAAATACGTGCGACGAATCTAAAAATAGCATATGGCTTTTCTCTAGCTAGTCGGGGACCATTTTTGCTCAAAAGTGCCCCTTCTTCTTCTTCTTTTTGCTTGTAACATATGTTCTTGTTGTTTGGCGGGATGAAAAAAAGAGAAAGAAGAAGTCCATGGGAGAGAAAAGCTTACCGACCCATCGTTTTATGCTTTCTGTGTCAAAAAGTTGAGTTTTTTCAAGTGGAAAGCATATGGAAAGCAGAGTGGACATGTTGTGGTTGGGCTACGCAATATGGGATACTGTAGGTTCTGAAAATTTTGGAATCCCATTTTTGACCTCATTTATCTCGGGAGTTGGGAGAGATACAAAGAAGTAATTAGCTAGTAAAATGTGTAAAATATTATGAAAAACAATTTATCAGTTAGTATCTTTTTGATAAATGTTATCTGAAGTCCCGCTAAAAATATTTTTGCCATTTTTTTTCATATTTTCAAAAAGAGAAAAACTAGACAAATAGTATACTCCCTAGGAGACCTTCTTTTTTTAGTTTTTTCAAGCGTCACATCTGATCTCATTTATCTCAAAAATTAGTTCCCAGAAATGGTAGACACTTTCAATTAGGTAAATGAATGGAACAATGATTTTTTGGGATATGCGCACTAGCTTCAACAAGATCTTCGATTTTGAGCTTCATTTTGATCTACCTCCTTTCTGTTCTCTGTAAAAATAGAATCCAAGGAGAAACACTTCCGCTTCAAGTTTGTGGGATGGATTCTCTCATCAGCGACAATATCTCTAAAAACCAAAAGCTTCTTCTTCTTCTTCGTCGCTTCTCCTCTGTGTCTTCTTCTTTCTTCTAAGAGGGTCCCTCTTCTTCTTGATGGGACCGCCCTTCTTTGGAAAAGAAGACGGAGGTCCTTCAACTATTCCTTCTGCTTCTTCTTCTTCCACCCACTCCTTTTAACGTCTTCTTTTTCTACTTTTTTCTACTTTTTACTCCTTTCTTCTTCTACTTTGTCGCCTTTCCCTATTCTTTCTCTTTTTAGTTTTTCCTATTCTTCTGGTTGCAACTTCTGGAAGCTTCTGAAAATTTGCGACACCTAGGCTGCAAATAGAATTATCTGAAAAATTATTTTCTGAGCTTCACTTCCAGGAAAACTTTCTGAAAATACCTCAAAAACCAGATGAGATATGGGAAGCTGAATTTCGGATAGAAATTTGAAATTCAGTAATTTGTCTCTCATTGTTTGGTAGTTTTCATTCAAGAAAGTTCTTCAAAACCCTGGCATTTTCTAATTTGGCCTCTGAAGCTCAACTCTTTGATATCCCACTATTTTTGGTTGTCATTTCTAGGCAAGTTCAACTGGATTCCCGTTACTAGCGAAAAAAGCAAAAGAGATTTCACTTTTCAAAGAATTGAACTTGGATCTTGAGATTCGTAGACTGGGTTACTTAATTTTCGGCGATGGACACCTTCTTCGGTGGTGCGGATTATCACGTGAAGCTCTATCACCTGTACGCCCTCCACCATTATATTCTTTAGCCGGCCGCGTGGTCTAGTGGCTAGTAGCTCTGGCCATCAATCTACACTTATGGGACGCCCCCACAAGTGTGGCCCCTTCATCTCTTCTTAAATTAGGGTACTCCTAATTAATGAGGGACGTTTTGAATCTTGTCTCCAAACACAGAAAAAAATGTTTGAGAAGGAAGAGCCATCTAAAAAAGGAAAAAAATTGCGGAAAAAACGAAAAGAAATTTGATCCCTCTTGCTCTGTCTCTCTTGATTTCTCTGCGTCTCTCTACTCTCCATCTCTCAGTGGTCCCTCTTTCATTTTTTTTTCTCGAAAAATGCTTAGATTCAATGTCGTCTTTTGATTTTCCCCTCTTCCTCTTTTTTTTTCGAGGAATAGAGGAAAAAAGGATAGAAAAGTTAAAATTACTGAATTAGCGCTATTTTGAGCGCATCTTAAGCGCACTTTTTTTGTTTTTGAAAAAAATCATTTTAGCACATTTTCGATTTTGCTTAGTTTTTATCCTCAAAAACTAAATTGCTTTTAAAGGGTTTTAGCAAGTTTAAACAATTGTAAAATTTCCTATCAAAGAATCTAAATTTTGTTAATTTCGGACCATTGTGAGCTGAGTTGGGATCGATTTGCAGAGAGGTTAATTTTTTAGCGCATTTTTTTTGAAAAGCCAAAATGCTACATCAAGCTATTATCTAGAAAAGTGGCTTTTCGAAAATGACCTACAAATTGGTTGAAATTTTAATAAAATCGGGTCGTTTAAGCTGAGATAGGATCGTTTTGGAGAATCACTTGATTATTCAACTTCTGGGAAAATCTTTCTATTTGGCCTATATTGAGAAATTTTAGCTGTAAAATGCCGATTTTCAGCAGCTCCTAATCTATTTCTTTTTTGAACTTATCCTCATTATCATTGGATTTATCTATAACAAGTCTGAAAATCTATTTTGAGCAATAGCTCTTAAAAAGATTAGGTCTAATTAAAAGCAGAAAACGAGAAAAAAGGAAGGAAGAAAACTTTACCGAAAAAGAAGGCATAAAAGAGATCCCCAGGGTATCTGAAGACGTTGGTAGCAAAAAATGAAGACGTCTTCTCTCCCTCTCCCTCTCTCTTGAAAATTTCAATCATACGAAACACCGTTTATACAGAGGACGCTTTTCCCCTATTCTTTTTTTGTGCCTATCGTTTTTTTCCTTTCCCGTTTCTTCTTTTTTTTTTTGCATCTTCTCAAAGGAATCTTCCTCCCGAGACACACACGCCACCGCCGCCAATAAATATAATATTCGATGTGTGCATCTTTCTGCGTCTCTTCGGTTAGATAGTACTTTCTAGTTGTTCCCGTCCCTTTTTGCTTCTTCTTCTTCTTTTTCACTGCTTTTTGTGGGGGCACCCCAACCCCACACACTAACATACACACATTCACACGCCATCCAGCAAAAATTTTGGAATTTTTTTCCCCACTGACTTCAAAAGTTTCTCCGAGAATTACTGGAATCTGTGTTATTTGGAGTTTTTCGTGCATTTTGAAATATATTTCCGTAATGTGCAAAGAAAACAAAAGAAAATAAGACCAGCAAGGAATCGAACCCGGATAGCTAGATCGGTTGACTAGGTTGTCATCCACTAGGCTATGTGCACTCTCTCTTTCTCTCTCTGTCTCTCTCTCTCTCTCTCTCTCTCTCTCTCTCTCTCTCTCTCTCTCTCTCTCTCTCTCTCTCTCTCTCTCTCTCTCTCTCTCTCTCTCTAATTGTCGTCCACCCATGCGCTCTCCCTTAAGGCGCGGCTCCTTGTTTATTACACCCTACCACCTCTTGCATCAAATGTGCACTCGTGGCATAATGGTTGTGGGATAGCTTTTCGATTTTGGACTCTCTGGTTCATATTCACCCCTCTCCAGCTTCTTTTTTCTTTTTTCTGTACATTTTTTCGAACACCTAGTTCCCTCTTCTTCACCCAGACAATATGGAAAAGAGACAACTCTTTACAAAATCAGCGTCTTTTGTGTTTCTAATCGTTTTGGGGAAAGGCGGAGAATAAGAAGAAGACGAAGACGTCATTTCTTCTCTTCCTTTTCGCCCCATTGTCCATCCTTTTCGCAAATTTTCGGACCAAGAAAATGGGTTAGCGATAACTTTTTTTCTTCAAAAAGATTCCTATTTGCAATCCAGATCCTCAAAATATACATGTTATATACGTGTCTTCTCCTCCTTCTCCTTTCCTGGATGATGATGGAATATGAGAAGAAAAAGAAGAAGAAGAGTTTTCCTATATATCCATCTCCTCAATGCTATATGTCTATATATCTATTTCTCATTTATCTTCACAATTTTTGATTAATCCGCTCTTCTTCTTCTTTTCCTGCTTCATCTTCTTGTCGCTCATCTCCTCGAATACTTTCGGGAAGACACCTCTTTTAAGCCTCTTCGATAGCTGCTAAATTTATATGTATTTTCAACTAGATTTTTCAACTAGATTTTCGTAACTAGCGAAAAAAGCAAAAGAGATTTCACTTTTCGAGGAATCGAACCCGGGTGTTGAGATTTGTAGACTGGGCTACTATCCACTGGGCCATCGAGTCATGCTTGGGGTGGGCTTTCCCAATTCGGCATTGCATCACGCTGTAAAGCTCGCGCCACAACCTGTACGCCCTCCACCTTCATATTACTTGGCCTACCGCGTGGTGTTGCGGCTAGTGGCGTTGCCCTCAAATCTATGTTTTGGGCACCCCCACAAGTTCGACCCCTCTTGCCTGATCTTCGTTTTTTTAATCATTTTATCAAGTGTCTTCGCCTTTCGTTTCTCCCCATTTTCTCACAGCCCTTTGACTAATCAAATCCAAATCCAATTACGTTTGTGTCTTCCTTCCCTCTTTTTATTGCCCCTCATTCTTGTGGTATTGGCCATGATGACGTGGCAAGCTCGTCTCTAGGTCATTTTTCGTGTCTAATGAGGTACCAGTCGTCCTATTTTTAGAAAAATGGAAGACTAAACTTCGCATCGTAAATTCCTATTAGGTTTATGCCATCAACTTTATGGGAACTTTAAATTACTGTATAGGAGGATGAGGACCACACAGGAAGAAAAAAAATGGGAAGAATAAAAAGAGAAGAAGAAAAAAATGAAAAGATTAGAAGAAGATTGTCTAGAAGAACACAGACTAAATGACGAGATATTTATGGGAACGAGAAAATGCAGAAGACGTAGAGAAGCGAAACACGAGAAACGTGTTTTTTTGGCTGGGAAGCCACCACACTGTTGATCACGTCTTCATTTTTCTCTCTCTCTCTCTCTCTCTCTCTCTCTATCTCTATATGATTTTTTTTGCCGCCCTATTGTATATATCTTTTTTTGAATGTATTTTGTTAGGTACATGATGTGGTAAACCCATTGTGTCAAAAAGTGACACCTCCAGGATGGTTTCTAGTTTTACACTATCTTTGAGTTGTCTTTTTCGAAATTCCAAAAAACGTTGGTCTCTTATTTTTTTATAGTCTCCCAGGCACGCCCTACCTTCCCCACGCGCCCTCCCTTTTATCTTTGCCCACCATCCCTTGAAGCTTCCGGTACGCGTGTGGTGTAGTGGTGAACACTGTTGACTACCGATCTGACCATCTTTTGAAGTCCCAGGTTCGTGTCCCTGGCTTTTAAAATCTTTTTTTGCTTTCTTTTTTCTTTTTGCTATCGGCACTTTGGGGTCCCAAATTTGCATATAGCCCCTTTTCCCCTTTTCGTTGAATTTCCTCAACCCATACACCTCCATATAAAGACGATTATTGCCCCGAGGGCATTTTGCCAAACTTTTTCTCCTTTCTTTCTTCTTTTTTCTCCGTTTTTTCGGGAAGAAAAATACATATAACAAAATTTTTGAAACTTTTTTTTTCGATTTTTTTCTTACTGATCAGTTTTTGAAAAACAAGAAAAAAACATTAACTTTTGATGATCAAGAGAGATTCCGAAATAATACAATGGCCTCCAATTAATTGTATTCTCCCAGCCACACACAACACACTTGTAATTTCTTTTTTTCTCCTATTTCTCTGCGTCTCTCTCCCTCTCACTCAGCCACAAAACAGTGTCAAATTCTTTTTCAATCACCGAATTGACTTGGTCTGCCCCCACCCAGTCAAGGCATCAAACATATACAGAAAACATGACCACATAAATAGAAATTGGGGGAAAAATGGGAAAAATCTGAAACGGGAAAAAAATTCTCTCTGAAATAAATTTTTTCCGCCTAAAAGAGATTAATTTTCAGACGAGTAGTAGTGGTCGTTTTGTGTTTGGGAGACAAGGGGGAAGTTCTATTTTTAGCAACAACAGCAGCAACCTGTCATTGTCACCGCCGCGCGCGCACGCATCCTTTTGACCTTTCTAGAATAGGTTTCTAGAGGTGGTTTCTAGAAAATCGTATTCTAAAAGAAAAACGAAAAGAATAAGACTTGTTGGGATTTGAACTCGGGTCTTGAGATTGATAGTCTAGGTTGTTAGCCACTCGACCATGTGCCACACCTACCATTTTCCCCCCACAGCGGCGCCACCACCATCACCCAAAAGCCGCCTACTCTTAATAGACTTTAGATCCCGTTCCTTGTTGTGCACCGTTGGCACAGGTGATTCGTGATCGTCCAATTACAGAAGAAGGGCTATAATCGACCAATTACTTTTCTACCGCGAACAAGAGGTTCTACAATTGACCATTCACGAGCAAAATGCGTATCTTACTAACTGGCCCTATAAAAGGTCCACAATTGAACAATCGCGAAGAAATTCTTGTTTTTTATTTTCCGAACTTCTTTCTTTTTATTTTGGATGTTTTACTTCTTTTTTCGCCGTTTTCTTCGCAGTTTTTGTTCGGAATCTATTAATTAACATATAATACTATACTAGAATACTGTATAACCATGAATGTATCGTTTTGTTTGCAGAAAAATAGAGAAAATGACCGGAAGACAAAAGTCGGAAGCAAGGAGCCAAAATTTCGAAAAACTCTGGAAGAAGCATTGCTTCTGTACTTTCAAAAGGTACGAAGCGTCCAGAAAATTTGAATTTTTAATCTAATTTTTAAAGTGTGCCAGAAAATCTCAATTTTCCTGTGTCGACTGGGCACTCCGGAAAAATGCAACTGAGAATGAGGAAGGAAAAAGTTCTAGAACAGTTCTAGAACAGTGAAAACGAATATCAGAAAAAAAGGTGATTTCAGACGGAAGTGTTAAGTTCGCGGATTTCGAAAAAAAAAATTCCAGTCGACAACTTGTGTCAGAGGTATAGTAAAAAAAGAATTGGGAGCTTAAAATTTAGATAATTCATTTCAGTTACTTCGAAACAACAATCAACATCATCTTCTGCTCATCGTCATCGACTGAGGCAAAAATGGACAAAACGAGAAGCTCCGATGCTGTTTCAGCCAGTTCGACAACAGCGGAAGAGAATAATATAAATTTTAATTAATTGTTTTTTCGCTTTTCATTGTTTTTTCTGTGTAATAAACAATTTTTAGCAGCAGCTAGCTTCCAGCTTCGAAACAATATATGCCAATTATTGCTCTCGCGACAAGCCAATTGTAGGAGATTTGCTCGCGATAGGGCGAATACTGGTCGTTTGCGGTGGCGCGTTCGCGATTGGTCTGTAAATGGCCTGCGGCAGGCATGTTCCGATGTACCCATGACGACTTTCCGCGAACAATATTTCACCTATTATAGACGCTGCGCGAATCACCTGTGGGCGCAAGGGATATGCGCTCGGTTACGGATCTAGAGGTCCCGTGTTCGACCCTCCGCTAGGCAGACATAGTTTTTTTCTGTTTTTTTCTTGTTTCAGCGCTTACCAAGGTATCATTGTTTCTATTTTTAGCATCAAATATACAGAAGTAGCATATAAAGTTTTTGGGGATAGTGAGAGAGAGAAAGGAGAACAATATACACATCTACATACATATACATGATTTTATATATTTTCTATTTCTCTGCGGTCTCCCGTGTCGGTGGGGAATAGTATTATTATCATGATGATGTGGAAAAAATGGGAAAAGAGTATTAGAGAAACCAGGAAAAGAAAAGGAAATACAGTGATAAGATGCTAGAATTTTTCAATTTTTCTCCATTCATCAAAAATTCGTTTTCCGGAATTTGTTAGTAATTCCCGTGCCCATTAATACCCAGCTAGAAAATTTTCTTATCAGTTTGAGTTGTCTGACTGCCTGCGTCTCTTCTCCTAGATACTTTTATCAGTTCGAAACCGTCCATCTCGCTTCTCTATTTGTTTCCATTTTTGGAGAGAAGAGAAGACAGTTTTCCCTTTTTTTATTCCGCTGACAATGTTGCAATTTTTTGTTCTAGAAACGTTTTTGATATTTTCGAAACAAAATTGGCGCTTTGCTCTTCTGATAGTTACGAATTAGCTCCCTTTCTTGTACGCCTTCCACCAACTATGACTCAGGTGGTCTGCGTGACACAGTGGTTCCGCGCTAGCCTGCCAATCCACCGTGGGACAATGGTGCCTAAGTTCGACTCCTCACTCAAGTCAATTCATTTTTTCCTTCTTTTTCTCGATTTTCGATGTGCACAGCACACACAAAGGCTCCCAAGTGATTCATTTTTCATCGTGCCCCAATTTCTGACAACTTCTTGGCGCTTCTCTCTCTCCTCATCCTCTTCATCTCTCCGTGAGAAGAACACAGGGGTTGGTTTGGCCCATCCCTCTCTCTCTCTGTTTTTGTTTTGATTTTTCTATTTTCATTCCTTCCTCTTCTTCTTCTTCTTCCTCTCATCCCCCCCCCCCCATTTCTTCCACAACTACTACCACTTTTCTATATTTTTTGGTGCTGATTGTTGCTCAAAAAACCCACAAGCTCTCACTCTATATATTTTTCATTCCTATCCATATTTGTTCGCCCATTTTCTATAGCACCAAAAAATATTGGAAAATGTGTTGGGTTGTCGAAATATGTGTCGGGAAAGTTCTCACATACAAAAACTAGGAAGAAAGAGAGAGAGAGAGAGAGGCGAAAAAATTTCCATATTTCTAGTCCTATCTGTTTCAGTTTCCATATATATGTCCAACTTTTTATCGATAGAATTTTGAAACTTCATACTTCCTTTGTTTTTATATCTTAATTTCAAGTTTTCCATGACCAGTAAAGAAAGGAAAAACTATATCGCCTTGCTCGGGTTTGAACCCGCAACCTTTTGATTAGTTGTCTGGGTTACTATCCACTAGGCCATCCGTGCACTATCAGGGGCACCGGCGCCCTCAGCCTTCCCCTCCACCTCCCGTTTTCCTTAACTATCTATACACCCTCCCCACTCAATTCACCATGGCGCCCTTGTATTCTAAACAAAACGCAACGGTTAACACTTTTGACTTTCACCCAAGCCCTTACAAGTTCAACTCCATCCCCCCTCTGAAACTGTTTTGTCTTCTTTTTAAACCTCTTCTACAGTAACACCTCGTATTTTTCGATATCTAAACTCACCGTATACAGAATAAAAGAGAGAGGAGATAAGAGCAAAGGCCTCCCCGCCACGCACATCTGCCCATCCCAGAAGAGGCTGCTGGAAGTTCTGCGGCGTTGTTCAGAAGTAGAAGAGGAAAGAGAGAGAAGACGACGAGTTCTACTTCAATCAAGCCAAGATTACATCCAGAATGCTCAAGTTTTTAAAGCCCAAATCGTCAGATGAGGGCAGTTCGAAGGACAACAAATCGGCGGCGTCGCGTATGTGTAAAAATATGATATGAAACAAAAATATATAGATATTGGTATAACATGTCCAAAAAAAAAACTAAAATCTTCTGATCGTATAGACTATTCTGATATATTCCATGACTCCTTTAAAAGGTTGGATTTTCTTGAAAATTCTGAGAGAATACCGTAATCTCTAAAATCCTTCAATTTGAAACTAAATTTGCCTTAAACATCTAAAAGCCTGAAAATCCCAGAATTTACTATTCTTGTTTGTACTCATTTTGAAGCTCTTGGTCTTTATAACGGTTTCACATAGTCAAAATGTCTGAAAAAGCAGATTTTGTTTTGAAAATCTCTAAAAATATGCTGGCAGCCTTTTTCCTGTTTTTTTAAATAGCAAACAATAGATTTAATAAAGTCGAGTCAGTCTAGAACGCTTAAAATTCCAAGAAGACCCAAATTTTAATACCATATTTGCTCTAAAAATTTCAGAACTAGCCAAAACTGGAAAAATCAACTTTCCAATAATAGAACACCCTTATAGTCAATTTAAAGTTCATGTATCTCAATTCCTTTAAAAGATAAGAAAAAGTAGTCAACTGATAAAATATTTTTCACGAGATATTTATGCTCAAAGTTACCGGTTTGCCTTCTATTAGAATGTTTACGGTAGGTGTCTGTTTCATACTTTTCTGACATATTTGAATCTCCTAAATTCACATTTTTGACTATTGAAACTTCTTTGAATCGCTGAATCCTCTATATAGCATTTTATCTCTGAACACCGGTAGAGCGCACTTTCTAGAAATCCAATTTCTTCCATTTTTGAGAATACAACTTTGTTTACACTTCTCTAAAAATCCCATTATCCTTAACCTTTACCAGTTAGCCCTAGAGCGCATTTTACCTGATAGTTTTGAAAAATTTTACTTCCAAAAACTAGTTAACCGTTAAACTTGTAATATAAGGTATACTGTCAAGTTTGAGCTCATATATCTCATTTTCTGTGAAAGATATCAAGAAGTTGCGAACTGACAAAATATTTTTGATATTCTGATAAACAATTTATCACTTAACACCTTCTTTATATCTTTGACAGCGACCGAGAAAAATTGACTTAAAGTTAAAAGTTCAGGGGCCCTTTTATTACAGGTTTCACGGTATACTGTTCTAATACATTTAAGATTTTTATCATAGCATAAGAGCACCCTTTCTGATCACCCATTTTCTATTTTTCCGCTTTTAAGCTATTCCCAAATTTCCTCGAAAATTCCCAATTTCTCAGATTGACTAAATTTTCCGTGTAGAGTAGCGAAACGAAGAAAAAAAAGAACGAACCTAATTTTGGCGAAATTCCCCTATAGCCAATTTGTTTCCCCGTTTTTTTTAGAGAGAGAGAGAGAGAGAGAGAGAGAGA